TTTTGTTGGTGTTTATTAAATTCAGAATTTTATTTTCTGAAAATAATTATAAATAAGTCTTTCAGTAGTGTTTGTACAATGTTGTTGCATAAACTGTTCTGGTTCTGCTCACTTCACTTTGCATCATGTCTTAAGGTCTTTTCAGGTTTTTCTGAAACCATCCCCTTCATCATAAATTAAATTACTGCATTTTTTGTGCTGGTATATTCTACTACACAAATATTCTGAAACTCAAATGACATTTCAGAGAGTCATTCATTCATATATTGGTTAATATGCAGCTAGTGTATTTCTATGGGTAAGATGAAATACTATTTTATTTGAGTTAAATAGGACTCTAAAGGTGTGTTACACAATATTTACCAACACAAAATTTTTATCATTTGTACACACACACCCCCCCCCAGTAGCTGCATATGGATAATAACCAAGCCACTGAAACTTCATATAACAACAACAATAACAAAATGTTTGAGCCACCTTAAAGGAAAATGCTTACAATTCTTCTACACAGAGGGTCACATTTTCAGAACACTGAATTCACTCAAAGAGAGGGAGGGATGGGGAGCTGAGCTACACAATTTTGAAACTATAGGTGTGTAAGTAGAATGTTTAAAATCTCTGTGATTTAATAACATGTTCATTTCAGTTACTGATATATGTACTAAGAAAATGAAACCAGGAATATCCAAAATATTTTGCATACTTAGAATCTTTAATTTTTTAAAAGAAACCATATTTATCTACACTATAAAGGTTACTGACAAAGTATTATGCACCTTACTACATAATAACTTTTGATTGTAAGAAAGGTGGAGATATAAAAGAATAAAAATATCTTTAAATGATTCAAGGTGTTTGGCTTTTATATTTGGCTTTTCACTCTGTAAAAATAGATGCAACACTGTAATGTACTGCAATATATTAGCATAATGAATTGTGATAACTGACAATCTATCAATGGGCAAAACTCATCTTCTTTTATAGGTGTCTAGTCAGCTTTGAATTTCCTTATGAATGCATAAATAACAGCAGTCCGAGCAGTTTGGTCTTCAGTCAAAGCAGTTTTATGGGCTATTGCTTTCAACAATATGTATCACAGTCCACAATCAACAAATCTTTATTAAGTGCCTATTACATGCCAGGCGCTGTGCTAAGCTCTAGGGGAAAAAAGAAAAGCAAAAGATAGTTCCTGCTCTCAAGGAGCTCACAATCTAATGAGGGAGACAACATGCAAACAACTATGTTCTCTAGTAGGATCAATTGGGAATATACAACAGAAGGAAGGCACTGGTATTAAGGATATGGAAAGGCTTCCTATAGAAGGTGGGATTTTAGCTGGGACTTGACTTTCTACAGATTCCTTTTCAACTTCCTCCATAACGAGAGAAATGTTGGCTCGTTTTTGTTTTGTTACATAAACAGTCATCTTTCTTACATATTAATAAGAATATGTTAATATTTGTCATGTGATTTTATTGAAACAAATACTTAAATATTTTTAAATTAATTTATGTTGTGGATTATTTCAATACATTACAAACTGAAACATTCCAACTTGTTCAAGCAGTCACAGGACAAGAAAGGAAATGACAACCTAGGACCTCAGTAATATTTAGAATGAGGTGCTAGAGGTGATACGGTAATCATTACTAATGCAATGTTTCATTAAACTTATCTACTATATATCTTTAAGTAAAACAAGAAATCACAAATCTGATTCTTTGTTTAACCAAACAAATGAAAGGTTGACTATGAACTTTCTCTTCCACCCATCCTCATCTCCCTTTTCCAACACTCCTGAAGTTTGCAAAGGAAGGAAGTATAAGCTAGTAAAAAGAATACTAAGTCTGGAATCAAAAGACCCATGTTCTGGTTTAATTTTTACTACCTTTGTGTGATGTGATCTTAAATCACAATACTTAATGCTTTACTTTTTTTTCATCTGCCACTTCCCTACTTTTGAAAATGCCACAAGATTGAAATTATACATAAACACAATGAAGATAGCCCGGTATAATGGATTGAGATAATTAGACTTTAAGCTAGAAGTTCCAGCTTTGCTACTTTAATTGCTATGAAACTGACCAATTCACTCAAACTCCCTCAGCTTCAATTTCTTTATCTGTAAAACAAGGATAGGAATTGCACTACCTGCATCATAAAGTTATCGGGTAAAATGCACCCTGTAAATTATAAATCTAAATGTCAGGTATTAATATTGCTACTTCTTTCATGGTTATACAGAAAGTATTTTGTAAACTATCATATAAATATGGATATTGTGAGGCAAATCAGAATTCCTTGAAAGACACTGCACACAAATCTAAAATACCGTTTTAAAATAAAATTTAAATTTATAAATGAAGTGAAATTTAACTGAACAGAGCACTTTCATAACATAGGCACTTAATAAATGTTAATAAAGTATACGAATTTATTTACTATGTACTTAGGAGCTCCTGATCTGAGAAACTGTTAGAGGGAATTATGTGTTGGAATTAAAGGTAAAGTTAGTACTTCCCTAAGTAAAACTAGGTGGCATGTAAAGGAACCAAATCCTGGCCTCATCAGTAACCAAATGCCCTAGGTGATTTAGATATTCTCCTTTTGGTATATTATCCTATCCTTTATGTAATAATTTGTTTGCATTCTTTTCAGATTTAGCATAAGGAATTCAACTCAATTCAAGAGGGATTTATGTATAAATCATTATGCTAAGTGCCAGTGATACAAAGACAAAAATAAAAATCACAAAAATAAAAATCACTCTGCTCTCTAGGAATTTACAAAACTATGGAATTCACACATTTCTTGTTACATATTTGAGTTCCTCAAAATAATATGTGCAGAATACTACAGAAAAACAGTCTGTAGCATAAAATCTGTTAGTATTAAATTAGTAGTAAGGTTAGTGATGTTTGAAATTGCTTAGGGCAGCTGGGTGGTGCAGTGGATAGAGCAATGGAGTCAGGCCCTGGAGTCAGGAGGACCCGAGTTCAGTCCGGCCTCAGACACTTACTATCTGTATGACCCTGGGCAAGTCACTTAACCCCAATTACTTCCTTCCAAAAAAAGATATTGCTTTACTTTGAGGAAATAAAGTAATTAGTAATAATAATTTATTATGTATAGCACTTTGAGCTTTTACATTTATTTGATTTAATGATCATTTGATCATTATAACACTGTGATGGAGTACAATTACCCCACTTTACACTCAGGAAACTGAGACTTAGAATATCACCCAATAAATGTCAGAGCAGGGGTTTGAATAAAGTCCAGAATTCGTTCCATTATATTATTATGCTTCTTATTTGAAGTTCAAATAGATTCTTGGATTAAAAATCAAATAAACCAAACCCAAATTACTCTTATAGTACTCAGACTGAGGGAGAGCATCAGGCTCTAAAGAAAAAACTTTGCAAATCATAGGCATGTGACAGATTTTGTTGAATTAAATTTACAGACATTTTGCTAACATGTTCTAAGATTAAATTCTTTACTTTCCACTTAAGTTTTATTGCTTTCTTCAAATGATCTTTGCTGATTACAATTTTTACTTCACTGTAATGATTGAAAGATGTTTTTAGCATTTAGTATGAGGTTTATATGTTGTAGCATATAATCAAATTTAATTTGGGTCCTGACCTTTATTGTTGAACTTTTTGTTAATTTGTTTAGGTCTGAGGAAATGAACATTGAGATCTCCAACTATAATAGTTTTGCTTCCTAATTCTCCTTGAAACTTGATTAACCTTGGTGCCTATACAGATTATGAAGAGTGAAGTAAAGAGAAGAATTGAGTATGATTCCTAGGTTGTAAACCTGTAGTCCTCAAAATATGGTGATGTACTTAATGGAAATCAGAAAATTAGGCAGAGAAGGGAGGGTTTGGGAGTAAAGGTAAAAAGGTTATGAATTCTGATTCAGAAATGCTGAGTTTAAGACACCTACAGAACAAACAGGTGGAAACTGCCAAATAGAGTTGGGCCTTGGGACTAGAGCTCATGACATAGACTCAAGACTAAATATACCAATCTTGGCATTATTTGCATAGAGTCATAGATGAACCCATGAAAGCTCATGAGATAAGGAACATAACCACTACAAAAATCTCTTATATAACTGCCCCATTCCTTTACTCTGGCTGCCGCTCCAGGTGGCAAAGGTACTTATCATTTCATCTCTCCTGGACAGTTACAATAATCTCCTCGTTTGTCTCCCTGCCTTAACTCTTCCACCTTGATCCTCTTACCCACGCAGCTGCCACACTGATGTTCCTAAAGCACAAATCAAGCCTTTCCATTCTCCTCAAGGACTCTCTGAACTCTTTTTCATAGAGATGGATTAAGAATTTATGGTGATTCCAGAATACTTTTAGTCTGTGTTGATGACATATAACATGGGTCAGTAAATTAGTATTTAAATTTTCTGATACGAAGGTATGACAATATTACAGCACAGGTTGAAGAGGTACTTATACTGGATCACCACATACAAGGTTTTATGATCATATAGGAATGTCTAGATATACTTACTTATGTATAAGTCTAAATATTCTGAATGACTAGTTCTTCTCAAGCTGGAGTGGGAAGACCACTTCCTCATATTTTCCTTGGCTACTCAACACTTTTCTGACACAACTCTTTCTACTGTCTTGACACTTATAAAAAGAGTACAGCTGCCTCTACTCTGGCTACTTCTCCCCTTTTTCCTTCTCCCACTGGTACTACTTTATGTCCATAAACATGCAGGAGTGGTTAATCATTACTCAGATACAATCTGTGTCAATGAAATGACAGAAAAATTGCAAAAACTGTACTAATATGAACCCTGATATACAAACTAATATGAGGTACATAGTTTCTATAAATATCAAGTAATATGTAAATTAAACTATACATTTAGGCACCTTCAATTTTAATGCTACTTAACTTACAGAATTTGAAACACTCAAGAAAATACTGGTGAAAGAACATAATAAATCAAGAACTTACGGTGATGATTCCAGAATGATGCTATTAGCCTGTGTTGATGATGGAGATCTATGATTCACAAAAACTTCACTTGGAGAGGTGTGGACTATATGGTCTACCAAGTGTCCAACTGAAGATGGTCGTAGTCGGGTTCCCTCTTGTGTAAATGCAGAGTTGCGACTAAATAAAAATTGGATAAAATTTTTTTTAACTTTTAATTTAAAAAATTTTCTAAACTGTGAAGTTACACCAAAAAGTTTTCTTTTAAAAAAATTAAAGATTCTAAGTGTGCAAAAGCTTTTTTGGATATTCTTGATTTCATTTTCTTAGTACTTATATCAATAACTGAAATGAGCATGTTATTATATCACTGATGTTTTAAACTTTCTACTTATTAAATCTTTTTATTATATGTGTGTGCATGTATATATATGTATGTATACAGTTTCAAAATTGTGTTGCTCAGCACCCCTCCTTCTATCCCATCCCTCACTTTTTTGAGTGAATCCAATATTCTGAAAATGTGACTCTCTGTGTAGAAGAAGTGTAAGCATTTTCCTTTAAGGTGGCTCAAACTTTTTTTTTTAAATGTTGCTGTTTTATGAAGTTTCAATAGCTTGGTCATCATCCAGATGTATGTGTGTGTGTGTGTGTGTGTGTGTGTGTGTGTGTGTGTACAAATGATAACAAAAATTAAAGTTTGATTTTTTTTTTTTTGGTAATTGGGGGTAAGTGACTTGCCCAGGGTCACACAGCTAGTAAGCATCAAGTGTTTGGTCTGAGGTCGGACTTGAACTCAGGTCCTCCTGACATCAGGGCCAGTGCTCTATCCACTGTGCCACCTAGCTGCCCCAAAGTTTGACTTTCATAAGGCAGAAATTCATCTTAGAAAATTTATAATAATGGAGACAGTGAGGAGCTGGGGGTAATTTGAAGAGTGTAAGTCAGATTTCCCAAGCTTTTTAAAAGAGATTCAATTATTCTGAAGCTATGAGATCACTTCTGAGTAGGGGCAGTAGGATACTGATAATGGGAGCTGCCGACAGCTGATTCCCTTTCTCTAGAACAGAGAGGGCATGACAACAGCAACTAACTTGCAGTTGTACCAAGTAAAGCCTTGGGATCTAGTGGCAGCTAGTTGGTCACCAATGGTGTTAACTCAATTATATTGGAAAGAATAAGAGTCCTTTTCACCTACTGATGACAGAATGGAAACTATGGAGTCAGAGTAGATGATTTATGCAATGATAAATATACTGTATCATTAGCTTAAACTGTAGTCCTACATTGTACTTTGGGAGCTGGATAGCACTGATAACTAGGTTTGTACTAATGCAAACCTGAGGTCCTATTTTACTTACTGGTTTGGCGTTCCAGGTGGAGAGCGTGATGGTAAACTTTGTGTTTCTAATCTTTCATCAGACAATGAATTCCTACTCACTACTTCCCAATCCATCAATTTCCGTGCCAAAGGTTTGCTTGGGGATCTGCAGAAATAATAGGAAATGGCTAAAATTATAACACAAGACCTAGTTCACCTAACCAAATCTTAAATGAAATCACAATATTTCTTTCACATGAATGAAATATTCTCTGAAGTAACTATGTGAAAGAAATGAATGTTTTCAGTATTTTTCAGTGTTCTTTGTCTTCACTGTGACATCTTATCATTCTCCCTCCCACCCCACCCCCCAGACCTAGTTCTTTCCCAGAGATCACTTTGCACTAGCTATACCCTTCTCCCACCCTCCCAGGCCTAGTTCTTTCCCAGAGCATCACTTTATACTGGCTACACTCTCCTCCCTTCCCCATCTTGAACAGTTAGTAAACAAGTTCAACTCTACACCAATCACTTATCTTGAGTTCCTTTCCCCTTTATCCTATTATCAATCTTGTCTCGACAAGCCTCAGTCTTAGATTACTCTCATTATCTTGTGCCTTCATTCCTAGTCACATACTGATGAACCAAACTGGAGAAAATGAAAATATGTATACTGAGTCCACTACAAACTTAAATTACATAATTTCAACTTGGCCCTCGCTGTGGTAAGGCAATCCTCCATAAACGATTCACTATGCCATTCACCACAAAGGCCTTTCCAAACCTTTTCATCCCTTCTCAAACCAATTAGGCTCCTTCTCCCATCACCCTCTCAAAAATATGAGAAACTTGCCTCATATTTCACAGAGAAAATTGAAGCCATTCTCTAAGATCTTTCTCTTTTCCCATCCTCCTCATCTCACGCAGGTATCTTTTCCCACTCTCTCCTCTCTCACCCATCTCTATGAAGAGGTGGCCCTTCTATGTGCAGAAGTAAACTCTTCTACATGTACAAAAGATTCCCATTTCATCACTCCTTCTTTAATGGCTACTTCCTGGCTGCCTACAATGACACCCAGGTTTCACCCATCCTCAAAAAAAACCTCATTTGACTCAGCCACCCCAATTAGTGATTGTTTTGTCTTTCCCCTCCCTTTCATGTCTAAACTATTTAAGAAGGCTGCCTACAATTGGTGCTTCCACTTCCTTTCCTCTCACTCTTAATTCTCTTTAGCCTGTGTCTGAACTCACACTTGTCATTCAAGAGAAACAGCTCTCTAAAGTTACTAATGATCTTTTAATTGTAAATATAATGGTCTTTACTCAGTCTTTATCCTTCTTGCCCTCTCTCTAACCTCTGACACTGTCAGATCACCCTCTTGTCTCTGATACTTTCTTCTCTTTAGTTTTTTGTGACAATGAGCTATCTCTCTCAATTCTCCTAGCTTTTTTGGATCATCATCTATATTATGTCTAAGTGTGGGTGTCTCCCAAGGCTCAGTCCTGTTCTGCTTTCTCTTCTCTCTTTACACTTTTTATTTTGCCTGGTGATCTCATTAGTTTTCATGGTTTTAATAATCATTTCAATGCAGAGGATACTCAGATCAATTTTCTAGCCCTAACCTCTTCCCTGACTTCTAGTCTTACAAACCCAACTGCCTATAAGGACATCTTAAGGTGGATGTCCTACAGACATTTTAAACTCAACATATTCATAACTGAGCTCATTATCTCCTCCCACCCCCAAACGCTCCTCTTTTTCTGTCTTCCCTACTACTACTGAGGGCACTACCGTTTTCCCATTCACTAAGGCTAATATCTTCAGTTCCTCAGTCTCTCACACATTTCCCCTCCCCCAATGCATTCTTTCGTCAAGTCCTGTCGATTCCACCTTCTCTCCTCTAGTACTGCTATCACTGTGGACCAGGGTCCTTATCACCTCAAAACTGGAGAATTCCAAGAACCTGGTGGCTGGTCTCCATCTCAAATCTTTCCTCACTCCACTCAGCTCCAATGTGATCTTTCAAAAGTATAGGTCTGACCATGTCATTTTCTTATTCAATAAACAATAGTGATTTCCTATTACCTCCAGGATAAATATGAAATTCTGTTTTGTTTTTAAAGTCCTTCATAACCAGGACCCTTCCAATCTTTCTAGTCTTCATATACCTTATTCCCCTTCACATACTTTATGATCCACTAATACTGACCTCTTTACTGTTCCTGAAGGAAGATGCAACATCTCCCTACTCTATACATTTTCACTTGTTGCCTTCCATACCTTGAATTCTTTCCCTCCTCACTTCTATCTCCTGGCTAAGTTTCAACTAAATTCTACTTCCTGCCAAAAGTTTTCCCCAGTACTTCTTAAATCTGTTTTGACAATTTTGTGCTATTCTTCCAATTAATAGGACATACCCTGGAGCAGTCTTAATCTAGGTCTGTGAACTTGTGTTTAAAAATATATTTTGATAATGTATATGTAATTATTTACTTCATAATAATATGTGTTTACATATTTAAAAACATTCTGAGAAGGGGTCCATGGACTAAATCAGACTGTCAAAGGAGTCCATAACACACCAAAAAGGTTAAGAATCCCTACCCTACAGACTGGGAATCACTGTTCTGTGGCAGGAGTCAACTCAGACTATTTCCAAACATTGACAAATAGTTCCTGGGTTGTAGAAAGAGTTGAAGTGACAAATTTTATCTTTGGCAACCTCTTACTTCTCGTATGAGTGATCCTTTCCTTTCTCTTGATAGCCTTCTTCCACTTTTCCCCAACACTCCCTCTCTTCCCAGCTCAGTCATCTTAGATTTCATTTCTGTTCATTCCTTTAAAGTTAGTTGGTAAAGTGTGAGCTAATAAGGTATAAAAGCCTTTTCAGGAGCATTTACATTTGTGAAAAGGACCACAGTCTCTGGGACCCAAAAGAAGGGGTAGAGGGTGTGTGTGTGTGTGTATGTGTGTGTGTGTGTGTGTGTGTGTGTGTGTATGTATGAGAGAGAGAGAGAGAGAGAGAGAGAGAGAGAGAGAGAGAGAGAGAGAGAGAGAGAGAGAGATAAGAGAAATGGTGAGCAGAAGAAGCACATTAGCATGCTTAGTGTGTCTCAAAATTAGGGCTAAGAATTCTCAGCTTTATAGGGGCTGGGTAGTGGAAAGAGTAGATATATTTGGACACATGGTTGGTGTTGAATATCTTCTATATTTATATACAGTTATGACTTATTTCTTCTGGTATCTAAACCAGAAGTCTGGAGTTATATATCTACCTGTTACACACACAAAAAAATAGTAAATGTAAAATTCCAATATAACAAATATCTGAATTAGATAACTTTCTTTAAAAAAGGGAAAATTTTTTGAAAAGTATACAGACATCTTAAATAGAGATCAATAGCAATATGACCTTCATGCAGATTAATGGGTTCTTCTTTTCCGAGGCAATTAGGGTTAAGTGACTTGCCTAGGGTCACACAGCTAGTAAGTATCTAAGGCTGAATTTTAACTTGGGTCCTCCCAACTCCAGGGCTGGTGCTCTACCACTGCACCACCTAGATGCCCCTAATGGATTGTTTCTTAAAAATGTAAAGATAGAAGCTAACATTTTGGCCAAAAAGCCTTTGATAAAAATATATGAGCTGCCAAAAGCAAAGATCATTTGGGCATAAAAATTAATACTATGCATGTGTTAAAAAAGTTAATAATTAATAAATTTCTTGTTTCATTCTCAAATTTTACATAGCTATTTAAATGTATATTATGTAAGGAGAAATTAAATAAAAATTCTTCTCCTTTATACTTAGTTTTATGCTGTGAACATCTTAAATACCATTTTAAAGTTTGTTACTTCTGCCATTTCACAAAAACTGTATTTCTTATGATTACTACTTTTATGTGATCTTAAATGAGACAGATTTATGGCCACTATTTTCCAAATGTAATAAAACACTAAGATTATGTTTGTTATTTAAATACAATGTATCTAATTCTTAAGGCCAAAACAAATCACCTTTTTTTCTTGAAAATATATTTTGCTTATATTCTTATAGGGATAAAAAAGTCAGGAACAAAGTCGAATCAGCACAATATTGTTTTTCTTTTGATCAATGGTTTTCATTTAAAAAAGCTCTGATGAAAAAATGTAACACCTATATTGTCAATTTATAGCTTTATATTGGAGAAACAATACTAACTATAAATGTGAAATCAAGCTGACTAAATGAAAAAAGTGCTTAGAAGAGAAATTTCTCAGTATATCATATATTTAAGAGGAATACTAAAATTTTCAAGTTGTAATCTGATTTAGAATGTTCATCTCACCTGCCTTCATCAGCTACACTTTGCCTGAACTCATTCTCCAATGTTTAGCAAATTTTTATTCTATCTTTATTCTCTCAATACCAGTTGCATCAAATCTCCATAACAATAAACCATTATCTCCCTTCCCCAAATTCCGAAATATATCCTTCAACCCACTTCCATTGGGTTCAAAATTAAACAACTTCCCTTAATTTTAAACCTCATCCTCCCATGCTCCTTTCATCTTCCGGAATTCACAGAGACTTTGTTCCCCTAGAAAATGCATCCCTAGCCATCCTTTCCAGTACTGGTTGTACCTTCTTTTTCATACTCCAAATCTCTGGTCCCAAAGTAGGAGTCAGAATACTTTTTTCTCCTCACTGACACTTCAGACTTTCAACTGCCAATCTCTCCTATTTTAAGTTACCTCTATCTAAAATTGTCATTCACTGCAGATCCCGGCCACTGTTATCTCTTGGGCCCCAAATAGTCTCTCTTTTAACTCAAAACTCTTCAATGTATTCAGTTCCCATTACTCAGTCATCCACTTCACTCAGATACAAAATGGGACAGTCATACCCTTGATGTTGCACCTCCCAAAGTGTTTCATTTTCTTAATCAATAAATCCAAAATTCCTACATAAACGCCACAATATCGTACCCTTCCTGTCTCTCCCCATGCTTTATTCTACTATTTTCATTCTCTCACTAATCTTCAGTCTCCACCATCCTTAAAAAACTTTCAATCTGACCACTCCCAATAGCCATCATCTTATAGCTCTCCTCCCATTTTAGGCTAAGCTTCTTGAGAAAGCCATTTATGTACTTGGTCTCCATAGCCTTTCTTTTCATTCAATTCTACTTGACTTCATTTAACTGAAAATACTCTATACAAAGTTATCAATGATCTCATAACTACCAAATCAAATGGCATTTTCATAATCCTTGACTTTAACCTTGTCTAACACCATTGCCTTTGATTCCCTCTTCTCTCTAGTTTCTCTTAACACTGCTTTGTCCTGGCTGTTCTACTTGCCTGTCTGTACTTTCTCAGTCTCTCTTGTTGGATTTTCATCTAGCTGATATCCACTAATCAGAGCCTCAAAGGCTATGTCCTGGGCCCTATTCTCTTATTCTCCTTATATACCAGGGTAATTAAACTGCATTCCATGGACTTAAACAAAATTTTAGTATCTTCTTTCAATATAATTGACTTCCCTTGTTATCCAGGTTGTTTTGTTTATGCATATGAAATAATTATTCAGAGAAGGTATACAGAGATGTCATCAGATTACTTAAGGATTGCAACAGATTATATAAAAACAAATAGGCTAAGAGTTCCTATTCCATATTATATTAACTGGTGATCTCATCAGCTCCGACAGATTTAATTATCACCTCTATGCAGATGATTCTCAATCCATATATCTAGTGCTAACCTCTTTCCTGAGCTCCAGTTCTCAAATCACTATCTATCCCTCAGACATTTTGAACTCAATGTTCTGTAGACATCTCAAACTCAACATAAGCACAACAAAATTTATTGTTTCCCACCAAATCATTCCTGTATCTTCTAAATTTAGTGGTGTTTTTTTTTGTATAAGGTATCATCTTTCTTCTGGTCATGCAGGCTCACAACCTCAGTGTCATTCTTAATTCCTCAATCACACTCTCCCTATATATCCAAACTGTTGTCCAGTCTTGTTTCTACCTTCACAACATCTCATTTATGTGTCACCTTCTCTTCATTCATAGTTGTATTAAATTTGTCACAGTGAAAGGAAAAAAATACTACCTTATGCTCCTAGTTTATTAAAAACAGGTCAAACAAATTATATCTTAAAATGCATAAAATCAATTCCTTATCTCAACTCTGATAATAAATGTTAAGTAACAACCTACTAACTGCACTCTACAAGAACATTCAATTTCTGGACAAGAGCTAAAACAGTTAGCTTTTGTCTCCTTTGTGAGACAGATTCATTTGAAGAAAAACAAAACGCACTCACCTTATATATGCTAGAGGTTCAGGATTCTTTAGGACTGTTACTATCTTAAATATAACTTGAACTCTTTTGTATCTAAAGTAAATTTCAAGTATTTATTTTATTAACAGTTTTAACCTCAGGGACCCACCCACTCAAGTCTGCTGTCTTTATTTCCTGTTGTGTGTGGAAATTTCGGAGAAAAAAATACCACATTGTATCTGTGACTTTGCAGTGTGGTAAGATCTATTTTCTGACCATGGCACTCTTTCTGCTGTGTGGGTACATTCTTATTCTCTTTCCTCAGACAATAAAACATACCAAACAAGACTGATGAAATACTTCTAGGAAGCTATAAAGCAAAAAAAAAAATTCAAGTAAAATAATTTGCCTAACTACTGTTGAAAAATTAGCCTTTATTTCATAAAAAACGCTAAGAAATTTATTCTATATTTTTGGAATTTCAGTAGATAATACGTCACTAAGACAAGCATTCTATATCTTCAATATTTTAGTGAAATAAATTAATTTAACAATGTTAAAGCTATGAAGTATTCTTGAAGGTACAGCCATGTCATCAGAATAAGGTTAAGATATTTCATAGAAAGTTCACAAGATAAAAAACTAAGGGCCAAATGTCACTGTCTAAAATAATGGTGCTAATTAAGAAAAGTTGAGTCCTTTATCGCAAAAAAAAAATCTGTCTTAAAAAGATTTCCAACCTTTAGCTAATGGCCTACTATTTCCAGCAGGACTTAAGGCAAATGTATTATAGCACGATTAAATAATTAGGACAGTCCCTTGGAATGTACTCTAATGGGATGTGATCTGTACTGGTAGTACACTGAATGTGACTGATTTTGGTTATAAAAAATCTGCCAAGTTAAAGGTGAAATATTTTATTTAATGACTACAAATACAGAAATGCCCATTAGGAAAGTTTCAAATCAGATAAAAAATATTCATACATTTCTGAAAACTTGTGACTTATAATGACCTCACTTATAAGGAAAGATATTCCAAGTATTTTATAGGCAATATTAACCTCAAAATATCATTCACCGGATATGTTTTGAGACTCAAAGGATTTTCAAAAGCAAGCCATAACATGGTGAACTCATCCAATCTCATATTCTGTATAGTTTTGTCAATCAATACCTAATGAGTTCCTACTATGTATAACACAGTAGGCTAGGCACTTTGGAGTTTACACAAATGAAAAAAATATGGTCCCCGTCTTTATAAACTTCTAATTTAGCAAGAGGAAATGTGATATACATGGTAAATGAATAAGAAAAATGAAAATAAAATACAACTAAAGCTCAGAGGTGAGAGATTATATCTGCTTGGGTGTACAGAAGACCAGAGAAGATTTGGTGATATCCAAGTTAGGCATGGGAACAATTTCTTTAAAAAGGATTTCTTTGTAAGTGGTAATGAGTAGGCTATTCCAGGTCTGAGAAGAGATGAGTCACAGAATTGATTATCACAGAAAAGGACTATTTTTCCACTGATCAAATTGACTTGTGATAACTTCAGGAGAAGTGGAAGAGGGTTGGATGCTGTAACTAATCACACAGTTTATGTGCACCATCAACAGCAACGGGACATGTGACAAGGTGCATAATAAAAGCTGCAAAGAAGTATACCGCAAAGCATACATAGAAGTCATAAAAACAAGTGACACCACTGCTGCTATATAGGTAAAGAATATACTCTAAAAACTACATCAACAGCCATAATCTTGCTACATATGTAATCTTCTCTTCCGCTACTCTTAAAAAGTACCACAGGTCATTCTGTTGCTTCTACCTCCACATTACTCATGCATATGGTTCCCTTCTCTCTACTACTCATCATGTTTCACCTCAACTTGACAGAAGTCTAATTGGTCTTCCTGCTCCTCTCTCTGCCAATCCAGCCTCCACGCAGCTATCAAAGTGATATTCATAAAACTTAATTCTTACCTTATCATTCTCCTGGCTCAATAAACTGCAGTGGCTCTTCATTACATCTAGAATAGAATATTCTTTGTTTGGCCTTTAAAGCCCTTCACAAGCAAGCTCTCACCTTCCTTTTCATCCCTAATATACAGCAATCTTTTTTACACTCTTTGGTCCAGCCTAACTGACTTTACTGCTTTTCTTCACACATGACTTTCCATCTAGCATGCCTGTGCCTCTTCATGAACTATCTCCTATGCCTGTGATGCACTTCTGCCTCTCTTCTTCTCCAGAGAATCTCTAGCTTCTTTCAAAGCTCTTCTTAAATGCCACTCCATATCCTTCAGCACCTGGTGCCTTCTTGTCAGGAATTCAATCGGTAAAGAAGCATTTATTAAGTTCTTGCTATGTGCCATGCAATGTGCTAAGTTCTGGGTATGCAAAGAAAGGCAAAAAAGCCCCTGCCTCAGGAAGCTCACAATTTAACAACATTCAAGTAACTCCGTACATAAAAGATACAGTGTAAAATGCAAGGCAGGACAGCTAGGTGCCAAAACAAATAGAGTAATGTCCCTGGAGTCAGGGAGACCTGAGTTCAAATCCAGCCACAAACTTATTAGCTGTGACCCTGGGCAAATCACTTAACCCTCAGTCTCCTCATTTGTAAAATATGCTAGAGAAGGAAATGGCAAACCACTCCAGTATTTTTCCAAGAAAACCCCAAATTTGGTCATGAAAGAGTCAGATACAACTGAACAACAACAACGATAACCTTCCATTACTTCCATTACAGGTACTTAAATGCTTGTTAATAGTTTGAACTGTGATTACTTTGTCCTCCAAATTCAATAACTATGTCTTTTTAATTCTTCCTTCATATTATCTTTTTCATCTGTCATTTCTTTTACCTTCCATTACCACGGCCAGTAGACTACTATCTCATACCTTGAATGCTCCAACAGACTTACTTCTTTATTCAAACAATTTTGGTTGTACTCTAATTACTATGAGATTAACATGAGTGTCCACTTATGCAGTGCTATAACGTTTGTATACAATGTATGCTGTACTTCCTTGCCCCATACTTTGACAAAGACCATTTCCTTTACCTTAATGGTCTCTTCCCTTGTGTTAATCAATGGAAATCTGTCTCATTCTTTAGTCATGAGCTCAAATTTTATCTCTTCTCTCCTCCATGACTAGCCAGCCTGAAGTGATGTCTCTTTTCTCTAGACTCTTACAGCAACTATCATCTGTATAGTTTATCTCACAATCACATACTACCTTGAAATATGCCTCTATAACTGTTATGTAGTTTTATTTAAATAACTGACTACTTAATTTCCTATGTATTTTTTTCCATGTATCTCAGTTTTTCAAAAAGACTGAAAACTCTTTGAAGGCAGGGGGTACTTCTTCAAGTCCCCCACAATACCTTCTAAGTAGCAGGTACTCAATAAATATTTGCTAATCTGTAGATTTCTGGAATAGCTGAAAGAAATGATGGTCCTATAAGTATAGCATAATTTTCATTCAAGGGCTAAAATAGCAACATCTTACCTTGCAAATACTCTGTCTTTGTTTGCCTTTTCTTTGCCATATTGTACAGACTGGACTTCTGTTCTCCCACTAAAAGAAACAAATTTGCACAATAATGGGGGAAAAAAAGAAATGATGACTATGGACAATACTATTCTGTTAATAATTCTATCACTTCAAATGTCTGGGTTTTTGTTTTTGTTTTCAGGAAGTAGAAGAATTCAGACAAACATGATACTAAGAGATCCAAACATAGCTAAATCAATTAGTTCTATTATCAAATGTGCAGTGACAAGGACAGAATGAATCATAAACTTAGCTGGCTGGAAAAAAATTTATTTAAAACTAAGTTGCAACAGTGTCTTTAATTTCAAATTCCTCCATCATTTTCACTTTTCTTGGAGCATGAGCAAGGAAAGTGGTAACACAGTTTTTGGTTGCCAGATACACTCGCGCTATTCTTTTTAACTGACAATTCACAGACAAAGCCAGTGACGGAAAACTGAGAATTAAAAATTTTATATAAACATTTCTTCACAAATAAAATAAAATTTGGAATTTCACTTCATCCAAAAACCAAGTACTATATTATTACTTTGTTCATCCATATGAGAAAGAAAAACAAAAACTGCAGGGAGTTTTCTGTTCATTAAAAAAAAAAAAACTTGGATTCTGGGTGTACTACACCATGGAGACAGCTAAAGTAGCTTTACCTGTGGCACACAATTTGTTTTAGAGAGGTTTGAGAATTTGTGGAAATCAGAGATTAGTTAACTAAAACCACGGTTATATCTTAAATTTATCTAAAATTAATAGTTTATTTGATGCTGATACTTTGCATTATTCTAGGAAGACAGATTATCTCTAGATAAAAAGATGAAACATGGCAGAGTACAAACTTTTTCCCCTCTTGTTCTATAAACACAGTAGTACCTTAGTTATTTTAATATTTTATAATATATGCATATGCAATAAACATAATACATGCAATATCTTATATAATAAAATATATATTATTACATATTATATATAATAATCATATATGTAATATTTTAGGGTAATCAAGCAAAATATTAGAGTTGGAAAGGAACTCAGGGATCACTCTATTTCAGTTATGACATATAGAACATATGCCCATTCAACGTATTCAAATAATCATCTACTTTTTAGAGGAAGAGCTTTATAACAACAGATAGTTGTTATATATAAATATATGAATCTAGTTTGTGATTTTTTTTTGCCTAACCACATATTTAACTTTAAAAAAAATTTTTTTTATTTTCCACCAGTTACTTATAAAGACAATTTTTGACATTCACATTAAAATTTTTTTGAGTTCCAAATTTTCTCTCCTTCCCTCCACCTCCCCTCTCCCTCCCTGTATTTGACTTTTTTTTTTTTGCAAACTGTTTGCAAACTGGTTGGCACTCCCAAATACAATGTGATGACTAATTGTATCTTTACTGTAATTTAGGCTTTGTTTTTACGGACAATAAAAGTAGACTTAAGTGGAAGCATTTTTCTAGCATTATAAACAATATTATAATAATTATAATCAATTATAAACAATAATTTATCAATATCATATTTTCATATAGAGCTGAGACTGGTTTTGGAGAGAGTAATTTGAGGAGCTGTAGTTTCATTTTTGAAAAAATTCTAAAATGTTTTATATTTTAGCACTTACATATAAAATTTTTTAAAACATTTGTTTTTTAAATTTTTGAGTTCTAAAGTCTCTCTCGTCTTCACTCACTGAGATGGCAAGCAATTTGATATACATATGTAGTCATGCAAAATGTACTTCCACATTACTTATGTTGTTAAAGAAAACAGACCACAAAAAAAAAATTTTTTTAAAGTATGCTGTCATCTGCTTTCAGACTCCATTGGTTTTCTCTGGAGGCCGATATAATTTCTGATCATGAGTCCTCAGGAAGTGTCTTAGATCACTATATTGATGAGAAGTGCTAACTCATTCACAGTTGATCATCCTACAATATTACAGTTACTGTGTACAATGGTCAACTGATTCTGTTCACTTCCCTTTGCCTCAGTTCATGTAAATCCAGGTTTTTCTAAAAGCATCCTGCTCATCATTTCTTATAGCACACAACAGCATTCCATCACAATCATATATCACACCTTATTTAGCCTTTCCTTAATTGATGGGCAATTCTCTCAACTTCCAACTCTTTGCCACCAGAAAAAAGAGCTGATACAAATATTTTTGTACATACAGGGCCCTGCCCCCCCAAATCTTCTGGATAAAGAATTAATTAGAGCTATTGCTGAAATTAAATGGTATGCACAGTTTTATAGCCTTTTGGGTATACTTTCAAACTGTTTTCCAAATGATTGGATCAGTTCACAACTCTACCAACAGTACATTAGTGTCCCATTTTTTCCCCATCTTTTCCAACATTTGTCATTTTCCTTTTCTGTCATATTAGCCAATCTAATAGGTGTGAGGTGGTATCTCAAAGTTGTTTTAATTTGCATTTCTTCATGACTTCAGATAGCTTTAATTCCTTTGTCTGAAAACTGCATATTCATATCATTTGACCATTTATAAATTGGGGAATGACTTGTATTCTTATAAATTTGACTCTGTTTTCTGTATATTTGAGAAATGATATAAAAACTTCCTAGTTTTCTGCTTTCCTTATAATTTTGGCTGCATTGGGTTTGCTTGTGCAAAACCTTTTTAATTTAATCAAAATTATTTATTTAACATCTTGTAATGCTTTTGATCATGAATTCTTCTCTTATCCATAGATTTGACAGTTTAATTATTTTATGCTTCCCTAATTTGCATGTCTAAATCATTTCCCCATTTTGACTTTATCTTGGTATATGATGAGAGATATTGGTCCATACCTAGTTTCTGCTGAACTGCTTTCCAGTTTTCCCAGCAGTCTTTGTCAAATAGTGAGTTCTTGTCCCAAAAGGTTAGATATTTGGGTTTATAAAACACTAAACTACTGTGCTCACTTACTACTGTGTATATCTAATCTACTCTATTTCTTAGCCAGTACCAGACTGTTCTGATGATTACCACTTTGTAATATAGTTTGAGATCTGGCATAGCTAGCCCCCCTTCCTTCACATTTTTATCTCCATTGATTCCCTTGATATTCTTGACCTTCAGTTCTTCCACATAAATTGTTATCTTTTCTAGATCTATAAAATATTTTTCGGTAGTTTGATTGGTATGGCCCTGAATAAGCAACTTAATTTAGATAGAATTATCATTTTTATTATATTAGCTCAGTCTACTCATTAGCAAATAATATTTTTCCAACTGCTTAGATATAACTTTTTTAATGTGAAAAGTGTTTTGTAATTGTGTCATATAGTTCCTGGGTTTGTCTTGGCAGCTAGACTCCCAAGTATTTAATATTGTCTAATTATTTGAAATGGAATTTCTCTATCTCTTGCTGCTAAACTTTGTTGGTAATTAGAGAAATGCTGATCATTTATGTGGGTTTATTTTATATCTTGCAAGTTGTTAATTATTTTAACTAGTTTTTTAGTTGATTCTCTAGGATTTTCCACGTATATATACACCATTATATCATCTACAAAGAATAACAAGTTTTGTTTCCTGAGTGTCTATTCTAATTCCTTCAATTTCTTTTTCTTCTCTTATTGCTATAGCCAGTACTTCTAGTACACTATTGAATAATAGTGGTGATAATGAGCACGCTTGCTTAAATATCACTTTATAAAGACATGTTGAGATGGGCAAAATCTGTGCCCAAAATTTACATAAATAAAACCAGATTTTTATATGGCTAACGGTACTATGAACACGTAGTACTATAAACTCGAATTTAGCTTCCAAAAGAAACCCAGCAATTAGTATCAAAACATTAATAATGAAAGTAGTACTTACCAGTATCGGAACTTTGAACCCAAAGTAAAATAATGTGCAAAAAAATTCTTCTGAGGTGGCAGTGGTCTATCCAAACGGAAAAATGTGTGATGTTCTACACATGCTTTCCACAAATTCTTACACGCTCTATAATTCACCATATTGAATCCCAGTAATGTTTCTCTAGATTCATGCTGTAGGGAATGAACCCCCCCACCCAAAATCAAAATCAAAAAAAAATAAAGCAACTTGACAAAATATAATAATTATTATCTACAATCAGCATTAATATATAATTTAGAAGGATTTATAGCCATGCTGTTAGAATACCAGGGAAAAGCCACTGTCAGTGAGTGTCCCCTTTCCCCATCCTCACACTTTGCTCTTCTCCTGACAACCTGTGCAACCCATGGATGGCCAAGTAGAAAAACAAGATTCTTCACATTATCTGGATGATGTTTACATTGATTCAACAACTACAATTCTTCTATTGATATAGGGGATCACAAGGAATTTGCATTTGAATTGCCACTGTGTCTTAAGGTCTGTCAGGTCTTACCATATTGCCTTACTATAATTTACTCAAGACCAATGAGACTTAGTCACCTACCTTGCCACAGAATGCTTATAATCACAGATATTTCCATTAGCTTTAAAGCTGAACTCTTTCAAATGTGTTGTCATCCCAAACGAAAGGAGAAATTGGTAAGCAGAAGTGTCTCATTTTTTCTATTTGTATTCCTAGCTCTTAGCATAGTTCTTGGCATATTCTGCTTAATCAATGATTTTTTTATTCACTCATTCTAGAAATGCCCACCTTTTGCTTTGTCTTAGTGCTTCACTTAGTAAGCACATATATAAAGACAAATGAGGTTACATCTCCTGGTAACCAATAAGTAAGTACCAAACTTCTTTATACAACTAAAATGAGAGTCTCCATTTTGTTTCAAAATAGCAGATTCTCTATTTCTGTCATCACAAAGTCATCAAGTTTCATACCGTCACATCATACTTTTGACTCCTGATATGCACCCTACATTTGATACATCTTGTTTCTAAATACACAACACTTCTTACATATTATTTCATCCTCTTACTTACAAAGTCAACAACTCAAGTTCAAGCTCTCATCTACACTACGCAATAGACTCCTATTTAGCATCCCTACCTTTGGCCTCTTCCTATTCCAAGATATCAGCTACGAAGGTGTAGAAAAGAAATTTTGTAGTTTGTTCTGTTTTGAATTGTGAACTTGACAATCATCAACAAACATGAACATTTTCACATAAAAAGGACAGAGAAAGAAGATTATATGTGAAATCAGTTTATTTTTTAAAGTATATTAAATGTATCACGGTAGGACCAACACTCTGGCTTTTCCACCACCTTCTAAATTTCCTTCTGCTCACTTTTCTTTATTTTTAAAAAGTTTCTTTGATGTTCTTTTGTTTTTTTCTTTTTTTTGTATCACCATCATAAGTTCTCAAATGCCCCCATCCACTCCTAAAAAAAATTCCCTTGTCATCTGAGTCATTACCTACATGTCTATTTTATACATTTAAGCCTGCCCTTGTCTGAAATGAATAAGGTTCATGAGATACTTGCCCTTCCATGTTTGTATACTCTTTTTGTTCATGTACCCCAATTATGACAAATAAGTTTTTCCTTCTAATTTCTAACATTTTTCCTAGTATATTTCTTTTCTCCTCTCACTTTTCCTTCCTCTGGCAAAGCCAACAAAGAACAGCCAAACCACCCCTAGGTCCTGTGTATGTCTAAGACCTCTGAAAACAGTGGAATTCTGAAGGGACACTTATCTATGTTCCCTTTCTTAGAATGTAAGCCGTTAATCATTATTTAACCAACTCCAACTGCTCACATATACTTATATTTCTAGATTTCTTTTACCTGAAGTGTTTGCATTTCAGAATTTCTTCTCAGCTCTGATCTTTTCATCAAGAAAGCTTGAAAAATCATCTGTTCTAGTAAGGACCCTTTTGTTTTCCAGAAGGATCATATACACTCCTACAGGGTAAACTACCCTTGATTACAAGCCTTCATCTTTTGCCTTTACCAAGATTTTCTCTCTCACAGTTGTAGAATATAAAATGATCTTGAGTGGGGTTCCCTGTAATTTGAACTCTTCTGTTACTTGCAGTATTTTTTTCTTTAATTTGGAAGCTTACAAATTTGAAATAACTGAGTGTTTTCTGTGTAGAGGTTCTATTAAGAGGCTATCAATGGAGTGCTTCTATTTTCATTTTGCTCTTTAGCTCTAATAGTCTGTGGGCAATCTTCTCTTTTGACTTCTTGAAATATGGTGTCCAGCTTTCTTTTTTCAGTTATGTTTTTTCAGGGAGTCTAAAGATTCTTAAATGATCTCTCCTCAACTTCTTTTCAAGTCTGTTGTTTTTTTGATAGTACATTTTCTTCTGTTCTTTATATCCTTTCACTTTGTTCAACATTTTTTATTGTATCAGGGAACCACTGAGTTCTGTTTGCTTCACTTTATTTTTCAGGGAGCTCACAAATTGGTTAAGACTATCCACCTACTAAGCACCTACTATGTGCCAGGCATCAGAAAGACAAAATTACAGTCCGTGCTCTCAATGAACTCACATTCTAATGTGGGAAACAATATTCAAATAACATACACACATGAGAAATACTGTATACATGGATGGAAATTTCAGAGAAAGAAGCACTGATGGGTAGGGAGAGGACCCTGTTAAAGGCTCGCTTCAGAGGATGATATCTGAATCAAGTCTTTTTAAAAAATAGATTTTTGCAGATTTGATTTGTTTTTATATACCTTAAATTTCTTCTTTGTCAACAACAACCTTGGGTAAATGCCCTGCAGTATAACTTTTGGTTCAAAAGGTATAGGCATTTTAGTTTTTTATTTGCATAATTCCAAACTGCTGAGTTGAATTTTTTTTTCTGGGGGGCTAGGCAATGGGGTTAAATGACTTGCCCAGGGTCACATAGCTAGTAGGTGTTAAGTGTCTGAGGTCAGATTTGAACTCAGGTCCTCCTGACTCTAGGGCTGGTGCTCTATGTACTGTACTGCCTAGCTGCCCACTGAGTTGAATTTTTAAGAAGGGGAGGTGAGGAGGGAGAATATTACAGGCATAGGTGATTATAAAAGCATAGAGTCAGGACACGGAGTGCTATACACAAGCGACTTTCAAGTAGGACAACAGTGCTGGGTTCTAAAATGTATGAAGAAGCAAGTACATTTGATGTTTTCATTAGTTTACTCCTTTCTTACCTAGTCTCAATCACTGAATAAACATTGCCTCAGTCAAACTGAGACCTGGGAAAAATCTTAGCTTGAAAACGCTAAGGTCTCCCACTGCATCCAGGGCCATCTCCTCTTGTCCTGATCTGTATCTTGCCACTGGACCCAGATGGCTCCGTAGGAGAAAGTGAGGCTAGTGACTTTACACTGCCCTCCCTCACTTAAATCCAATTCACTTACGAGTCATGGCACCTCCTTTCTGATGTCATAGTCCTTTTCAAGAACACAGAACAAACAACAATAGTTTACTCATGTTACTAGCCTTTTGGTTTCTGAATCTGAGATTGTTATCAAGAAAAGGATCTGCCCTCTACAGCATTCCTGGGTCAGTTGGGTAGTTTCTTATTTGACACTTACTACTCTGTAGTTTAGATGCTGCCATCCTGGGGGAAGGGGAGTGGCACTTGTTCTAGTCTCTGACTTCAACTCTGTCTTTGATAGCCATTTCCTGGTGGTCTACTATGGATATTGGCCTTAGCCCAGCAACCACAGTCATTTTCTCTACATTACCCAATCAGGACTAAATTCTATCTGGTGCTGTAACTTAGACAAGTACCAAGTAAATGTTAAGATATCAATATTCCCAAAATCCTATATTCTCATCTCTTCTGGATGGGTACCCAGGTCTCCTGATGTTCCTTGTGCTAGCCTCCCTGGCACATTTCCATCTGATCACCAACACACAGGTTTTAGGCCGGTGTGCTGTTGCTTGTGCTAGCCAATTAGTTAGCACAAACCTTCTAAGAACTTTATGTCCATTTTCCAGGGCTTACCCTGACTTTGTTGGTAAGAATGCTCTCTGCTAAGTTCCATCAACTTCTGTGCAAATTTGGACTAGGTGGACGAACTCATTTCTGTTTTTCTTCAATTTTCTTTATCACTGCTCTAATTGATACCTCTTTCAGGTATTGGCTACAACATGGGAAAGCTGGATTCATCACTGATGTTCCATGTTGCTATCTTAATTTGGACTCATCCTAACCATATTCTTCATTGTCATCATGGTGTCTAATCCCTTGACTCCTTGCTATTCTACTAGTCCTTCACAAATGTTTTGACCTTACTTTCTTTCCTTCAGTCTTGGCTCTAAGGCTAATTCAACTAGACATATCATTTCCTAGCCATTTCTATATTATCACAGCTGCACTCTAAGTCACTCTCTTTTTCCTTCTCATATAAGAATCTTGAACTATGCCCCTAGGATGCTGGGCTTTTATAGGTGAATTTTTGCCTTATCTTGACTTGAACTGAGTCTCCATGTCACTTCCTGGCCATTTCCAAACCATGCTATTCCTCTCTCCTTCTTGCTCCTGTTTTCCTCCACTAAAATATAAGTTCTTGACTTATTTCCTTATTTGTTTTTGTATCCCAAGTTTAACATAGTGTTTGGTACATGCTTAGCAAATCCTTTTTCATTCATATTCATTCTAATGTGCTTCAGAGCATAAGTAGGGTTTGAATTATTTTGAGGTAACTTTTTGATCTAATATAGTTACTAAAAAAGCTCTGACTTGACATTAATCTACATTTTTTTTTTTTTAGTGCTCAATACAGCTGTATTTTCCAAACCTGGTTGACAAACCTAGAAATGGATTAACTGGACCCACAGAGACCCATTCATTTGTTGGAACTTAGAATTGGTGAACTGTGCTAGCCTTACTCAGGAACTGCAGAACTGGACATTTTCATCTATTTTAATGTTTTCCCCATCCTTTAACTGAGCCGGAACTGATGGAAATTTTTAGGTGGAGTGAAGGATCTGCCTTTGAGCTATGATAATGAAGCTAAGAACCCAGAAGGCCTGTTGTGAGTCTGATTTTATGGGTGTTTCCATCCTAGGAGCCTTTGTTATAGGATAATAGCATGGTGCTGCTTCCTCATGGAACAGCAGTC